CACTCTTAGGATGCCATGATTCCATGAAGAGATACTCTTGTGACTGGTGCATCAAGTAAACTCTTCTTGTGCATTTAGATTCTCTGACTCAAACATTATAGTCTGAAAGTTGTTATACTGAGCTGAAAAACTGACAAAAAATTTTCTAAGCCATAAAAAATTTGGCTCTTTTCAGAGAGGTCAAAGGATCAATACTGTCAGATGGTCAGAAACCTTTATAATATCTGAGAGGAAATTAAGTCAGGAGGCAGAGTAACTGGAGGGATTAACTCTTAATGCAGTTAACAGGTCTTTCTCTGGCTCACCTTGGCTCTCCAAACCTGTACGGTAGCTTTAAATCCTCCCAGGGGAACTAGAGTCGTTAATGTCTGTAGCGTTACAGGCCCTCCCTTGGATTCTTGTGGTGAGGGCTTTATTCAGGGTGCAAAAGCTGCTGCTTCCATGGAACACCCCCCTCAATATGGGAGGATGCAAAGTTGTATGTCACAAGTGATAAGCATAATTTAAAATCTACATATTTTGTTGAGGCATCAAACTGCTCTGTTTCAGGCACTGTAAACAGTGGTGAACAATGGTGAGTAAAGCCTGATATGGGGTTCCCACCCTCATGGAATATAGAACCCAGTGGGGAAGACAGACTGTAATCACATAATCATACAAATACATGTAAAATGCTATCATTAATAAGTGTCAAAAAGGGAAGCACTGGAGCTATTAGCACATAAAAGGTGGGTTTGACATAGTTGTGAGGTGGGAGGAGATCTGAAGGAAGAAGAGGAGTTATGTGGTTGGAGAGTGGAGTGGAAAGTTCCCTAGAGGCAGTGGCCAACTACCAAAACTCTGAGATAGGAGGGGTGGAGAGAGGGCCAGTGCAGCTGGAATACAGTAAGAATGAGACAGCAGCAGCCAGATCATCCAGGGGCTCAAAGTTTATGTTATGGATGATTTTGGTCTTTAATCCCAAGAACAATAGGAAGCCATCAAAATGCTTTGGGGGTAGTGTGGGAGAGGTAGTCAGACTTAGATGTCCAAAATATTTATTTAGATATAATACGCATACTATGAATTACTAGGGAAACTTGAACATTCAAATTTGAAATACATTTTCTTTTTAAAAATTTTATTGTTGTAGGAACACTTAATGTAAGATCTATACACTTAACAAATTATAAATGTACAATATATTGTCAACTATGGGTACAACATTGTACAACATATCTCTAGTACTTTTTCATCTTTCTTTATTGAAATTTTATTCTTATTGATTAATAGCTTCTCATTTCTCTCTTTCCCCCTGCTCCTGATAACAACCATTACAGTCATTGATTTTACAAATTTGACTATTTTAGATATCTAAGTAGAACCATATAGTATTTGTCTTCCTGTGTATAGCTTATTTCACTAGCACAATGTCCTTAAGGTCCATCCATGTTGTCAAATATTGCAGAATTTCCATTTTTTAAAAAGTCTAAATAGTATTCTATTGTATGCATGTGCCGTATTTTTTTACACTCATCAATGGACACATAGGTTGCTTCTATCTCTGCTATTTTGAGTAGTGTTGCAATAAATATGGGAATGACAATACCTCTTTTGGATCCTAGTTTCAGTTCGTTTGGATATATACCCAGAGGTGTCATTGCTGAATCGTATGGTAGTGTAAAAATTTTTTTGAGGAGCTTTCATACTGTTTTCTACAGCAGCTGCAACACCATTTTGCATTCCTGCCAACAGTGTTAAAGAGTTCCAGTTTCTCTACATCCTCTCCAACAGTTGCTGCCTTTTTTTTTTCATAATAGCCATTCTGACAGATTTGAGATCTCATTGTGGTTTTGATTTGCATTTCACAGATGATTAGTGATGATCAGTGATTTTTCCATTTGTCTGTTGGCCATTTGCATGTCTTCTTTGAAGAAATGCCTCTTCAAGTCCTTATTACATTTTTCAAATCAAAACATTACTTTGTTATTATTGAATTGTTGCTTTGGCCAGGATAGGGGAAGGATAGAATGATTCCTGGCTCTAAAGCTATGCAGCAAATTTTGGCAGTCTGGGCTAAATGTCTCAAAAATTGTACCACATTACTATTACTTTAACTGCCAATGTGTTAGTGGCTGCATCTCCCTCAAGGTGCTTGAATACTCTTCTGTATTGACACTTTGGAGGAGAGCAAGAATTCTTTTCTCATTTGGGTTTTGATCTGTATTTGAAAAAGGAATTATGGAAACACAGGTCTGTGGAGGCATGACAAGGCAAGCCATCAACTTCACAATGAGGGTTCAGCAAGTTGCTTCAGGTTTTCCATTCATAGCCACCTCTTCTCTGTCAGCTCTTTTGAAGAGCCCATAAAACAAAATAGGCTCATTAAATATGAAGGGGTAAATGAAGTTGGCAGTTGCTCCTATTCTAATAGGCTTTCCTTTTTAAATGTTTACACTCCAGAGAAAAGAACAGTCAGAAAATGAATGCCTGCTTATCAGTGACTGCTCATGGCCTCCCTTTTGGCATGAATGAGGTCATTTAGCAACCAGATGTGGCCATTTTGCTCCTCCATCTCTAGCACTAAATTGGTCTATGAGGTTACAGCAATGCCACAGTGAAAAGGCAGGATGGCCTTGTCCCTATTTTTCATTCACTAAATTTGCATGAAGGGTGAAGACTGACTGTCTCATGTTCTTTTCTAAACAATCATGGACATGGACTTTTTCTAGTTGTGCAGGGAGAAGCAATAGTTCTGGCTTGTGGGCCAGTTCCAGTGCAGGAAATTATTGGGGAAATCTCTTGAGATCAACTCTTGTGAGGGAGTTAGGGAGGCAGGATATGGCAGAGGGAGAAGTTGAACTGAACCAAAATTGCAACAAATCCTTTAACAAATCCTACATGGCATACAGAAGCTAGCATAATACTACAAAGTTTTCCTGAATTGAGATGAGGGGGCTGGGGCTTGGTATTCCCACAACAATCAGTCATTGGATTTGGACTGCCTCTGGGGAAGGTACAAAATGTAGGCCAAACAGCTCTTTTTGGCCAGTAGCAATTACTGGAGAGGAATTAAACTATGACCCATCAGAAACCAACATTAATGTCATCTGGAGGAATGAATGCCTTGATACTGAAGGGGAACTTGGTGGCACACCAAAGCATCCACAATACCAGGCCTAGTTCATACAGACTGAGTAATTTATACTTTATTTGGTAGGCTTTCAGATGCCATTGAAGGTGTTTATACAGAGAAGTAATGTAATTCAGAGTTGTATTTAGGAAAATTAATCTGGTGTTTAGATTGCACTGGAAGTGGAGAAACTGGAGACAGAGAGGACAGTGGAAGACTTTTGAAATAGTCCAGGTAGGAAATAAAGGTCTGAGCAAGGGTATTGGCAGAGGAAATGGAAAAGGCAGGTGCAAGAGATATGAGAATGCTGGAATTTATAGGCTCTGGTGACTTATTAAATATGGGAAGAGGAAGGAGGCTCAAAGGTAATTACAAAGATTTGAGCCTGGCTGAAATGTAAGTGTGATGGTGCTGGTAATAGAAATTTAAGGAGAATACAGGATTGGTGGCAGATCTGTTGAATTTGCATGGTGGCAGCCACTGAAGATGCGGCTTACAGGTTACCGGAAAAATTTTCAGGAGGGCAAAATACATATAAATAAAAAGTTATATTATGATATTATGGCCATGCAGAGTTTAAGTATCAAATGAATATATATATATATATAAACAGTTAATGCTGAGGAAGGTCAGATAAAGAGAGAAATCACTATAGCCAAGAAGACTTCATGGTGGATGTGGCATTTGAGTGGGATCTACAAGAAGGTGTGAGATTTATGATGGGGAAGGAGAACTAGGGTGGGAAGAATGATGACATTCTAAGTGGGGATCAATGGTTTGAGCAGGGGCAGAGAGGTATGAATATACACCACATGTTCAGAGGGCCATGAGAAGAACAATTTTGCTAGAAGAGAGGATTTATTGAAGGAAATATTGGTTTAAAAAGTTGGAAAATTGATTGTGGAGGGACTTGAATGACAGGTGGAATGACAGGGAGGTTAAAGGAATTCAGGAGATTTCTTATAAAACTTTGCCTCTATTTCTGAAGTTTGACCCTATGTACCACCTGAATGTGGGTCTCCATAAACCTCCAATTTTTCACTTGAGAAACACTCTCAGTGTTTTACACTTATGTGGCAATGATGTAGAAGACAACTAGTCATTGGTGTTTTACTTCATAAAGACTATTACAAGTAAGTCTAGCATGCATGTGTTTCTGAGGCTTTATATTCACAGCTTTGCTCAGCTTTCATGAGGTGCAGAGTTTGTGGCCTAACTGGTTATCTGTTTTACTGGCTTACTCTGAAAATATTGTGTATCTGCAAATGGAAAATCAGTATGTGTAACCTAGCTGCCTAATCATGCCTGCCCCAAACACTGTTGAAAACTTTGATCAAAGGCCATAAAACTGTCAAGAGCTGGGGCCTAAGTTTGCTTCCACACCAAATAGCTCATTATTGAAGCTATTGGGAAGATAGCAGGGCATGCATTTGACCTACTGGGATCATTTTTTTGTTACAGAAGCAACTGGCAGAGCTAAATAGCTTTGTATTATATCATTTTTTATTTTTTATTTTTTTACTTATTCTCTATTTTGATTTATTTGACATTGAAACTTGCCCAACTCTCTTCTAAGTACACACATCGGGTACACCAAAGGGTATCTTGATATCACTGGAGTAACTTCAAAGTGGAATCTTCAGATTGGCACTAAAAAATACACACAAAAATAGAACTTTCTTTGGTATCTTTAAGTAGATATTTAATTTCACCCCTCTCTAAGGTGATCATAGACTGCTCTGAGACTTCTCCATTGTTATTTTGTGATATTCATTGCATCACTTATTTTCTATTTTCTTTGCAAAATTTCATCACAGAATGTTTGAAATATTGCTTGAGAAAACAATGAAAATTTCTGCTGAAGAGACTAATTTTTTTTTTTTAATAGGAGGAGTTCAATGATGTGCCCTGAAATCCCATGGTTACTTTTGGAATGTCCTGCTTGATTTAGAGCTAGTGTTGGAGAATATGCAATTGATGAGGTGAAAACAGTTGCTTCTGTCAAGGTAAAGTGGCCCAAGTATGTCTGTAGCTTTCCACACAGCTAATTGCATGAATTTTCATTCAAAAACATGTCAAATCTTGAGCAATTAAAGAAAAAAGCACCCTTGCATGTTGAGCATGTTATACTAATCATGTTATATTGATACTGAACAGCTCTACAACGATCTCATAAGAAGCAAACAAAGGAGTATTTATTCTTTTTATTCATTGTTCAACTTCATACAATTAATTTTATTCTTCGGCCCACAGAAATGTTTACTGTGCTGTAAATATTGTTTTTAATACTTACATATTATATTTAACAGTGTTCTTTAGATGTTTGGTTTAAAGGGGGTATGTTTCACTGATCCAAATAAGAATCACACAAGGGTTGTGTGTTGTGTTTTCGATTTTCATTAGAAATCTTAATTACTTAATGCCTTACTTACTCCATTTACATCCTTCCTGAAACCAGACTAATTTTCATGGCTACTGTAGACATCTCTAGTATCAACTTTTCATTTCCTCCCCATTTACCTTGGCTAGAGATGTAGAAGAATCATTTCCAGCCTCTGTGGTATGATGTTAAGGGTTCTAAGAAGACTTCTTTATTTCTCAAATTAATTCTCATAAATATATTTTTTATTGAGGTGTTACTGCCATATAACATATATCAGTTTCAGATGTACAGCATAATGATTCAATAATTGTATATACTGAAAATAACCACCATAATAAGTCTAGTTAGCATCCATCACCACAGTTACAATTTTTTAAAGATCTACTCTCAGCAACTTTCAAATATGCAATAGTTTTTTATTAGTAATATTCCTTTAATAGGCACCAAAATCTTAATCCAGTTTAGTTACCCACAGTGTCTACTAGCCTCACCCCTGGTAGACAGGGTTTTTCGTGCTACTATAGACTATCTATTGTTAAAAGAACATATGGGATGTGAACAGTTCCCAGGAATGTGTTGTTTTAATTTTTCTCAAACTATTCAAATTCAGTTAGACAATATCCATCATATTATTGATAAGTTTTCACAAATGCCTAGGGTACCTAACTGGTTTTCTTGCTTTCACTGGATATGGCTGGTAATTATAGGTCTGCTTTTGTTATGTATCTTTTAATGTGTGTATGCAATTTAATTAGTAGTTTGTTAAAACCTATACATGCTTATGTTACTCTAGTGGCATGTTTTTTAAAAGAAGCACAGATAATATCAATGGACATAAGATTAGCCACTGACCAGTAATGATGCAGTTAGGACTACAGGCTCTAGAGTCAAACTGACTTGGGTTATAGCCTTGGCTTCCACCATTTTCCACCTGTGTTACTTCAGCAGTTTGTTATTTCTCAGGCTCAGTCTCTTCATCTTTCAAATGGGATGGAAATGTCCATTTCATAAAATGTGGTTATATTTGCAAAGCACATCAACTATTTAGCACAGTGTGAGGCCACAGTGTATGGCATATAATAGGTGCTCAGTAAATGTTATCTCTCATTATTACTATTTAAATACAGGCATACTGCGGAGATATTGTGGATTTGGTTTCAGATCACTTCAATAACGCAAATACTGCAATAAAGTGAGTCAAATGAATGTTTTGGGTTCCCAGCATGTATAAAAGTTTTGTTTACACTATACAGTCTACTAAGTATGAAATAAGATTATGTTTTAAGAAAACAATGTATATACCTTAATTAAAAATACTTTATTGCTAAAAAATGCAAACCATCATTTGAGCTTTCAGCACGAATTGTAATTTTTTTTTGTTTGTGGAGGGTCTTGCCTCAGTGTAATGGCTGCTGACTGATTGGGCTGGTGGTTGTTGAAGTTTGGGGTGGCTGTGGCAGTTCTTAAAATAAGACAACAATGACGTTTGCCACATCAGTGGATTTTTTCCTTTCATGAATTATTAATCTGTATCACACAATGCTGTTTCATAGTATTTTACCTTAGTAAAACTTCTTTCAAAATTGGAGCCGATCCTCTCAAACCCTGATGCTTCTTTATCAACTAAGTTAATGTAACATTCTAAGTCCTTTGTTATCATTTCAGTGATCTTCACAGCATCTTCTCCAGGAGTAGATTCCATCTCAAGAAACCTCTTTCTTTGCTCATCCTTATCTGTTAAAGTTTTATCTTGAGATTGCAGCTATTCAGTTACATCTTCAGGCCCACTTTCTAATTTTAGTTCTCTTGCTAGTTCTACCATATCTGCAGTTATTTCTTCCACTGAAGTCTTGGACCCCTTGAGGTCATTCATGAGTATTGGGATCAACTTCTTCCAAACTCCTGTTAATGTTCATATTTTTATCTCTTCCCATGAATCGTGAATGTTCTTAGTGGCATCTAGAATGGAGAATCCTTTCCAGAATGTTTTCAATTTACTTTGGTTATGGATACTTTATATCCATCAGAGGAGTCACTGTCTCCTTTTCAACTTTCAATTGAAAGTTGAAATTACTGTTTGATCCATGGGCTACCAAATAGATGTGTTAACAGGCATGAAAACAACATTAATTTCATTGCACATTACCATCAGAGTCCTTGGGTGAGCAGGTGCATTGTCAATGTGCAGTAATATTTTGAAATGAATCTTTTTCTTAGCAGTATTTCTCAACAATGGGCTTACAATATTCAGTAAACCGTGTTACAAACAGATGTGTTGTCATCCAAGCTTTGTTATTCCATTTATTTGTTGTTCTAGAGTAGATTTAGCATAATTCTAAAGGGCCCTTAAAGAATTTTGGAGTGTTTAATGAGGTTTGGCTGCAATTTAAAGTCACTAGCTGTATTAACCCATAACAAAAAGTCAGCCTGTCCTTTGAAGCTTTGAAACCAATCAGTGATTCTCTTTCTCAGTTATGAAAACTCTAAGTGATATCACCTTCTAATATCAAGCTGTTTCATCTACACTGAAAACCTGTTATTTAGTGTAGCCACCTTCATTAACTACCTTAATTAGATCTTCTGGATAACTTGCTGCATTTTTTAATATCAGCACTTGCTGTTTCACCTTGCACTTGTAGGTTATGGAGAGGGTTCTTTCCTTAAGCCACATGAGCTAATCTGTACTAGCTTCAAACTTTTCTTCTGAAGCTTCCTCACCTCTGTCAGCCTTCATAGAATTAAAGAGTTAGGGCCTTGCCTTGGATTACGTTTTGGTTTAAGGGATTGTTATGGCTGGTGTGATCTCCCATCCAGATCACTAAAACTTTCTCCACATCAGTAATAAGGATGTTTGGTCTTCTTATCATTTGTGTATTCACTGGAGTAGCACTTCTAATTTCCTTCAATAACTTTTCCTTTGCATTCACACCTTGGTTCGCTGGTGCAAGAGACCTAGTTTTCAGCACATCTTGGCTTTTGACATGCTTTCCTCACTAAGCTTAATCATTTCTAGCTTTTGATTTAAAGTGAGAGATGTGTGACTTCTCTTTTATCTTGAACACTTAGAGGCCATTGTAAGGTCATTAACTGGCCTAATTTCAATTTTTTGTGTGTTTCAGGGAATAGGGTGGCCCAAGGAGAGGGAGGGAGATAGAAGAAGGGTAGTCAGAACACACACAACTTTTACTAAGTTCCTTCTTATATAGGTGTGGTTTGTAGTACCACAAAACAGTTACAACAGAAACATCGAAGATCACTGCTCACAGATCACAATAACAAATATAACAATAAAAATTTAAGTTTGAAATGTGAGAATTATCAAAAAGTGACACATAGACATGAAGTGAGCAAATGCTGTTGGAAAAATGGTGCTAATAAACTTACTCCATGAAGGGTTGCCACAAATCTTCAATTTGTTAAAAATGTAATATCCATGAAGTGATAAAGATAAGCACAATAAAACAAGGTATGTCTGTATCTAGAGGTTAAAAAATGCCTTTCTTGGAAAAGTCTAATGCATATTTGCTGGCACTAAGCTATACTTTTAAGATGTTTGAAGGCACACCTTAAATTTTCAACTGAGGCACTAGCCTAAATCCCATTTTAGGAGATTAATGTGAACTGCTGAATACCTGAATCCTCACTCTTGACCTCATTTAACATGTCTGAATTCAAACTGCTCCTGTAGCTTTTGCCTTTTGCATCTACTTGTTTGACATTTGGCACTTGTTGCCTTGCTGTTGTAGCCAAAGCCTGGCCTTTCCCTCTGGCCTGAGTTCTGTATTTTGGCTTTGCCCAGGACTGGATTTCCAGCATTGATGGACCCATCCTGTGGGCTGCATAAAGGACACCGAGATGTTAAAGCATTTGTACAGAACATTCTGGTAATCTGCTCCCAGATTTTGGACTCAGCCTCCAGCTTTAGTTTAATGCCCATTTTGCTTAGGAAGTTTTAATATGGCCTGGCTATGATTACCTAAGAGGAAGCCTCCTATGGCTTCCTTGAGTTTGCTTTGAGTATTTAAAAAAGAACTTCTTAATCTGACTTTAAACTCAGTATAAAAAAAAGAAATTGCACGTACATGAAAGTATAGAGAGGAGAATACACTGTTCTTTTAATCCTATCCCAGAAATAACTGCAATTAACATTTGGTGTACTTTCTTCTCTCTGTGCATATATTTATGTAATTGAGATAGCACCTGCTGTACTTTCTACTTAACATTGTATCATAAATATCCCCTACTTCATAAAAATCTCTTTGTAAACATTTGCTTCACTGCAGAATATTCCACCATATAGATGTGCCATAGTTTTAACTTAGCCATTCCCCTATTGTTGTACATTTAAACTATTTTCATTTGTTTGGTTATTAGAAATAGTAGTTAAGTATTCATATTTGTGCATTAACAATTTTCTTATAAACTTAAAACCCAGTTCTAATACCCTTTCTTTTTTAAGAGTAAAATAATAGTTCTTTTCTTCCATCCTTGGACAAGAAGTAAACAAATGGGCTGAGAGTTGTAGACACTTAAATATCTGTTGAATGAATAAATAGGTATTTAAAAGGTGATTTGCCCTGCTTAAAAATGAATATGTGGAAGTGGAACTCAGTAAGGTTCTAC